GTCCAGAGGACTGAGCAGACATCTGGCACAGGAGAAGGGCTCCGAGAGGGAACCAGGGCACTCCTGGTTTCCCATTCTGCGCCTTCTGAGACTGGACGCCCAACGCTGTCCCAGGCACAGTCAACCCTTGTCCTCCCTTCTGACCCCTTCCTCCGAGCCTCCCCCAAAGCTGCACTATTCCCCTGGGTATATTTCTACAACTTTCTTGCTTATGTAATTATTGTAATTCTCTGAGGGAGGGATTACTATCTCTCGCTTGCTAATGAGAAGCCAGGCTCCGAGGAGTGGCAGATTTGGGATGCAGCCAGAGTGGGTAGGCACGGTGCTAACATTACAAGGGTGGATTGGCCCTCCTGTATTTCATCTCGCTTGACCTCAAGCTGCTCTGGGAGGAGGGGGCCAAGGGAGGAGTCGGGGGGAAGACATCTATCTGGAGAGGGGAGATTGGGCCACCGAATCAAATACAAGCTCTTCATTCTAGCCCCCCAAATTTGGCCCCCACCCCTCTTGCATCATTCCAACCCCCACGTCCCCAGTGCCTCCTCCCATTGGCCTGCAAGCCCCCTCCCACACCCCCACCAGCCCTTGGCCGTTGACCATGAAGCCTTCCTGGTACTCCAGTGGGAGGGTTCCTGCAGGATGTCTCCCTTTTCCATACAGAAGGTACAATCAAGGATGGAATTAAGTTGCAAGGGGGACACTCAGGTCCCCCAAAAGATGTACAACTGCTCCACCTACAGGAACACGAATAGACGCTAAAATAGTATATTGTTGGATTGTCATATCTTCCCCTATGCAAATAGATAATCTTTAACTTTAACCAAGGAAATGGAGTTTCAGAGAGGTTAAGAAACTAGCCTGAGGTCACATAGGTGGTAAAAGGTGATCAAGAGGAACCCAGGACTCTTGACACCTGCCTACCTGTTCAGGAGATGCTGGGAGCCTTGGGGAAGGTCCAGGAAAGTTCAAAGCAGAAGTGTGGGGAGCGGGGTTGAGGGTGGGGGTGAGGCAGGCAGAGAGGGTGAACCAGACCCAGCTGGGTGGGATGAGGGAGGGAGGAGGAGACCACAGAGACCCCTTCTGTGGTCTCCTCCCCAGGGATGGAGCCAGAGCATGCCCAGGCCGACCCTAAGTGCTTAGGGGTGATGTCTGGACGCGTGGCAGGGACCCTGGGAGGACTCGTCCCCCAGCACCTTGCTTCTGAGGCTCACGTCAAGCCTCTATGTAAGAGCAGATGGGGTGAGCCCTGTGCATTGACAAGGACTGGGGAAGAAATTCGCTGTTTTGCTGAGGCCCATCTTCCACGGTAAATTAAACAAGGCAAATGGAATCTGCCTGTGCATGGAGCCTTCCACCCTCGGGGGCACCCCACCCTCAGGCAGCCAACCACCCTCCAGCCCACTGTCCCTGCTACCTGGGCGCTCGTGAATGCCCGGCCCAGGCTCACGGACTCAGGCTTGACTGCCCCCAGCCCTCCCTGACCAGGCCAGCCCTGGACGGTGCGCCCAGGTCTCGTCCACAGCTCGTGCTGGGCTTCCTGGCAGTAGCGACCCAGCGGCTCATCCAGCCTCCTGCTTGCCCTCAGCCATGGGCTGGGCACCCACACTGGAGCCAAACTGACTTAGTTCCCATGCACCTGTGGCTCCGGGGGTTGTATTTCATGTCCCATCATGATCTAGGGATGGTCAGCGTCCAGACAGCCTTTGCGGGGCTGTCAGAGAGGTGCTGGGCTGGATGGAGAGAGAAAATACGGCCCGTGCTTTCTTAATTCTCAGCAGAAATAAAGTGTCAGGCTCGGTGGGGAAGATTTCTTAGCATGAGCAGGCTCTACACAGATGCCTTGGGCCTGAAGGGACATCTCCCTCCTCTGCTCAGTGCCTCTCTTCCCTGTTCCAGACTCCAGACCCGTCCAGCCTCACTGAGGCCTGCTTCTGTCTTGGAAAGAGGAGACCAGGCCAGGCTGCAGAGATGGGCAGTGAGTCAGGAACGATGAGGGCAGGGAGGGAGGATCCTGGCAGGAAGGTGGGAGGGGCATGTGCCATCTCCTTGACTTTCTTCTAACTTTGGCCATGGTCTCAGGATCTTTCAGTCCCACGAGCCCCCAGGGATCCCCTGCAGATAAACACAGCTTTGAGGACCCTGGAGCTCACTTCTTCGTGTCTTTACCTTTAACCCATCTCTTGCTCTGTCCTGCTGTCCCTCTCAGCCACTATGCTGTCTTTCTGGGAGGACCTGGGTCATCAGCATATGGTGCGCCGCTGTGGCCTTCAGCCCAGGTTGTGACCCCAGGCGCCTGACCTGGGCTGCCTTCCCCGGGTCAGGAACAGCTCCCTAAAGTCACCCTCAGGCTTCTGGGGTCAGCGCTTCAGGGACATCACTAACTCTTGTCGGCTGTGTTCCTGCTTCCAACCCGGGAGCCCCTCAGTGGGAGCAAGTGGTCCTGGCCCAGGATCGGGGTCCTCTCTGCTGCCTACAGCAGGCGGCGGGGGCTCCTTCCTTCCCAGGCCCCTTCCGCTTCAGCTCTGCCTCCCCT